CGGCTCGCGCGAGCACGCCGTCGACAGCCCGCCTCCACTGGCGCGACCGCCAGGCCACGGCGGTCCCGTGAAAAAAGCCCGACCTCGACGGGGCATCCGACGGGTTGAGCTCGGACGGGGCCCAGCGCACGTATGCCCTGCAGCCCGTGGCCAGCAACAGCGACGTGATTCGGCGCAAAGGTCGGGTCAGGTTGGCCGTGCGACCTCGGCCCTTGCCTGCACTGAGAGCCAGAACCAAATTGTCCACGAGGAGGAGGAGGCGGTGCCCCTGCAAGGGCCCCGAGCGCAGGAGGTGCCGAAGGGCGAACTCCAGAGCGTCTCCCTCGGACTCTAAGATGTTCTTCCCCTGCACATGGACCCTGCTAGAGTGGGCCACCTTCCAGTCGGGCTCCTTCAGGATTACTCCGGGAACTTCAGCGAAGCCAGGGGGCCCCGCGCCTGCGTCCAGGGAGTTCTCAGAGATGGCGACGTCGCCCAGGCCCCGAGACCCACCAAGACCCACAGGGCCCTCGGTATGTGTTTTGATGGGGCACTCCTTCGGGCTCACGCAGTGACCAATACCTTCGTTATGAGGGTGAGGCGCAGCACCTTCAGGATCCTCTGGGGCTCCAGCGAGGGCATGACGACGGGCGACGATAGCGTCAGTGAGCCTGTGCCTGACCTTCTCGGCGAGACGACCAATCTCGGCGACGACGGGGGCGGGGAGCTTGCGACGGCAGACCCCAATCCCATACCCCGGCGAGTCGGACGCCGCGACGTCGGGGGCCCAGGGAAGGCGCCAAGACGTAGCCCACAATGGCAGCGTAGCTTGAACCCACTGGAGCTCTCTGAGGACCCCGCCCCAAAGCTTGATCGGCTCAGTGGACCGACCCCTGGCACATGCAAACGTGGCGGACATCGTAGACAACGTTTCACGCCTGCTCAACATAGCCCAAGTGATATGCCCTACCATCGTGGATAGAGCACGCGGAGATCTTTCGGTGACGCAACACTGATCGAATGCCCAGGCGCAAACGAGCGAGGCGAGAGCAGGGCACCCTCACGGCCCCCTTCACCCCGTCGAACTCGAGGCCCGTGAAGATCATGGGCGCCCGCGCCTCCTGGACCTCATGCACGGGGAGCCGGTGACGAGAGACGGCCTCCGCGATGAGCTGCAGCTTGCGGTCGGCGAGGCCCTGGGAGCCCGCGACTACACAGAAGTTGTCGACATAGGCAGCGACGGCCCAGTCGTCGGGGTGCTGCAGCACCGTGGGGGCCGCCCCATCGACGATGAAGCGGCTCTCGTCCACCGACGCGCCCCGCGCGATGATGTTGCATAACGCGTCCTGGCAGACGTGCAGCGCCCAGCTCCACCCCATCGGCATTACCAAAATCTAAGGCACCACGTCGATGTCAAGCCCCATGCCTTCCAATCGAAGTACCCGATTCGCGACGCACGGCAGTGTGAAGGCGTGGGAAAAGGTCCGAGGGCAGCTGCATGTGGTAGAAGGCGCACTGGATGTCCGCCGACGCCATGTAGCCGTTGATCTCAGGGCTGATCTCCACACCTGCCCACGAAGAGCTCGTCGGCAGCTTGGTCCCCGCTGGCTCCACAAAAGAGAGATTTGCAATGCGCGCATCAAACACCATCCGCAAACTCTCGCCCTTCTTGGTCGCAAAGAACACCCCCACGGAGGGCTGCTCTCGATGCTGACGAGGGCGAAACCTGAGACTTCCAGCTGCATCCAGTCGACGAGGGAAGTCAGCGCAGCGGTCGGGGCAGCTCAAGAAAAGAGGGTCGACGTAAGGCTTAACCAGTCCAGCCTCCCTGCGCCTGGCCTCTGCCACGGACTCGGAGACCGGCATGCTCGCCCCCCGTGGCCCTAGCCGAGAAAGAAAGGCCGCGCTGCAGATATTGACCAAAGGAGTAGGGGTCGCCCCAGCAGCGGGCCAGGACACAGAGTCCTTGGCGCAGGGCCTCACCGTAGTATCGTCTTCACAATAACCAGGTGTGTGTCGGGGCAGCTCTTCAAGGGCAGCATCCGAGGTGGCGTTGTTGACAGGCATGTCAGACGGCCACGAAAAATATTGAAATGAGTCGGCGATGTGCTCAAGGGCGAGCCTCTGTGGGAGGTTAGCTGCACCGTCGGGGGACACAACCTCATGCCCACCACTGCGCTGGCCGTTGAGGGCATTCAGGCTGTCTATGCACTCGTTAACCCAGGTCCTCCAGGCTGCGCCTCGATCACACCTCTGACGAGAACGACGAGACACACAAAATTCCCGACGACCGTCGACAGCAAGCCGAGGTAGAGGAAAGATACCGCGCTGGCGATCGTCGTTGTCGACCACCATGGGGAAGCTGCGCAGCTGCTGGCCCAACAAGTCCCAGCGGCCTCTCGCGAGGGGCCCACCACTGGGATGCGGGGCTCCTGTGGCTATTAGCGCAACGCCCGCTCCTCGCGGGCCTTCCTGCGCTCTTTAGCCACCGCAGCCTCGGCTTTCAACTCGTCCGCGATCCATGTGCTGAGGAGAGGGCGCGCGCAAACGTTGCCGCGGCTCTCCTGCGCGCCCAAGAACAGGTTGTTCTCAACCCGATCGTCCAGCACGTGGCCCTTGTCCTTGTCCTTCTTGTCGTTGCCCTTCGGCTTGAAGGACTGCTCCGCAACCTTTTCCTCTAGAAGCTGAAGTCGGCGAGCCGTCATCTCCAGATAGGCCAGTTCGCCGACATTCACCTGGTCGTAGCACACAGCCAACTCCAGGATGCGACAGAGGAGCGCATGCTCCCGCGTGACGGGGTCGTCCTCCGACATCTTCCACTCCGTCATCCACTTGGTGTGCCACGCGGACGGCGACGCCGCGTGGCGCTGGATGTGGGCACACACCCACGCAGCCGACCTGGGCCCGCGGACGGGCCAGTCCCCAAAAATTGGTCGTGCTCTGGAGCAACGTCCCGTCGCGGAACTCCCTCCAGCGGTCGCCCCGTGCGTCCAAGCACACGGCGTTGATGCGCAGGTCGGCGGGAGTGCCTCCAGCGGCGGGCGCGGCCGCCGCGGGCACCACGAGCGCCCCCCCCAACAGCCGCGGCGACGGCGGGGGCGGCCGGTGGCGCGGCGGGCGGAACCGCGGGGGCGGCCTCAGCGGGAGCCGCCGCGGCTGGGGCCACCAACGCGGGGCCAGCGGCAGCAGCGGCGGGCGTTGCGCCTGCCCCCGCCAAGGCAGCGACCAGGCCAGGTATCGCGACGGCGCCAGCGGGCGCCGCGGGGGCCGCTCCCGCACCCCCCGCAGGGACCATCGCGCCAGCGGCGGCACCCGCGGCGGATGCGCCAGGGGCGGGGGGGCCCGCGACGGGCGGGGCCGCAGGGTCAGCCAGCGCGAGACTGCCAGCTGGTAGGCCGCCCGCGTTGCCAGCCGCCAGCGACATGCTAGCAGGCGGAGCGGGGCGGGGCGTGCCATACAGCGCCGCCGCCTCCTGGATGCCTGCCCACACGTCGGCGGCCGACGGCAAGGCCCTGAACCCGTACAAGCGCAAGCCCGCAGGCCGCTCTCCTTGACCAGCAGTCATGATGATACCCTCGATGTCTGCGTCTGGGATCCCGCTCTCCTCGTAACGATCTCCGTCGGGAGTGATGATGTACACGGTCGTCCCAGGGCCGCGCATCACGATGAGCCTCTCATGCCATACGTGCGCGCCCCCGATGCGATACTTCACCAACGCCCAGTAGAGCTGGTGCGCCATGATCAAGCACTGATGGCCTTCCTGGCCCTGACGGCCCTTGCCTGGGCCCGCGCCTCTTCGTCAAAGTCCGCCGCGGGCGCCTCGGCGGTCCACGGGCACGAAAGGCGACTGACGACCAGCGCACCTCCCACAGCTCCGACGGCGAGGCCAACAGCCAATGCGGCCGCCGCGTAGGCCGCGATGAGCCCACCGCAGGCGGGCTCGGGCACCTGGCCGCCAGCACCCGCGCAGACGCAGTCGGGGATGGCGGGACAAGCCAGCTGCGGCGCACAGGCCCCGCAGCTCGGCGCGGCCGCCCGTGCCACCAGGGAAGCTCCCACCGCCTGAGCCCCGTATCGCAGGATGTCTGTGAAGGACTGGGCGAGGGCCTGCATATGGGAGCTGCACAAATTAGAGACTTGAGCCGCCGTGGTTGCGGCCCACACCATTGCAACGATCAAAGCACTCAGCAAGCAGTTATATGATGAGGATAATGATGAAGGTGGGGATAAGGGTGAAGCTGATGACGACGATGACGGTGACGATGAGAATAATGATGAGGATGGTGGTGATGATGACGATGAGGATGATGACGATGAAGACTGTGATGATGACCGTGGTGATCATGATGATGGCGATGGTGATGACGACGATGTCGGCGATAAACCCTCCCCCACACTCGCCAGCGCCAAGCGCAGGCGGCGACGCCAAGTGCGCCGCCGCCGACGTGAACGTTGTCGCCGCCGTCGGCGTCGTCGTAGGCGCCGTCGTCGTCGTCGTGGGAATTTTTGGTCAGCGGCGGGTACCGTGGGGTGGGCGGCTCAAACCACCCCCTCTTTGGACAAACAAGGGGGGGAACCGGTTCGACCCCCCCCCCCCCTGGAGGGTGGGGGGGTGTCCGGGGGAGGGGGGGAATCACCCTGCGTAGTTGGGCGCGCCCAATGTTTTTGGAAGGGGGGAGATCCCCTGGTTCCGACGTGTCGCTGGATGTTCCCCAGGCAAGCTTCCACGAACCGCGTTCTCTCTTAGAACCAATCGCTCATTCTTATGTTCAAGCCTCGGCCACCCCAATCCCACTGCCATCCTCCCTCCCAAACCATCCTCCACGTCCTTCGCCCTCTCCCCGTCTACATCCGTCCGTCCCCATTCCCCTTTCCTATCTCGGTCCCCCTCCGTGACCACATCATGTTCGCTATTCCCCCGTTCCCTCCGCGGACACCCTCCCCTCCGCGGACCCTTCCTCCCCCATCCTTGCGGTGGTCTCCAATGCTGCTGCCTTCCCCCTCCCGCTTCCCCGCGGCGCCTGGGCAACCCGTCCATCAGCCTCCTCACCGAAGCTGGATCCGCGCGCCTCAACAAGCTGCGCGACGGGAGCCTATTCCCCTCCTCCTTGTCCTCCGTTGCCGTACCATCACGCATATCCTGCACATCCTACTCTTCCACGTGTTCTTTCCGTCGGAAGAAGAGCCGAACACACGGCAACACATACGAGTTGGAAGCGATAGTGCTCGCACAGTGACGTCAGCAATCGAAACACGCTGATACAGCTAAAGAGAGCAGCGAGGCGGGACCCTCAAGTCAACGCAAATCCGAGACAGGCTACACGAGACTGCAAGCGTTTGGAGCGCCTCTCCTTCCGATGTTCGACCTCGCCTGGTCCCCCACGGGTTCCCAGGGCCATCGGGGAAGAAAGAACCTCCACAGGGCGCCCGCTGGCAGGCTGCTTCCTTATTTGAGGCGTTATTAAAGGGGAGGGGGGCGGCGGGAACGAGGGAGCGGGAGGTCCGTGGGGCGCGGCGGGGGCGCGCGGAGTCGGCAGGCGCGCTTCGCGTGCAGCACCGCCACGTCGTTGGCCAGGAGCCCCCGAGGCGGGAGGCGAGGGCGCATGAGGGCCGAAGGCTGCCCACCCCTCCCC